CCACGTGACCCTAGAGGCAGCTCCCGTAACATATTCTTAATTAATAAGTTGATTTCTTTTTAACTTATAACTCGTTAGTTTTTCGTATATTTTTAGTTTATTATTGCTTTTTTATATATATTTAATATCTTCATTTCGAGTATTTTAATTATTAATAAAGCGATTTTAGCTTTTGCTAATGTGTTTATTAAAAAAGTTAAAATCTTTAAAGTTATTTCCTTATTTGTTTTCTTTTTAAATTAATAAATATTTAAAAGAATAATTATAATATGATTGATTGATTTTGATATTGATTTTATATGAATATTAATCATTAAGATCTAGTAAATAGCTTTGATTCATTAGCTACTATATTATAAGCGAATGCGGAATATAGTAGACTCTAAGCGAAAGCGGAAGAGACTAGCTCTTCTTATAGCGTCTTGTTACGGGAGCTGCCTCTAGTGTCACGTGGAAGTGTCTAGAGATCTCTCGAGGTGGTTTAGACTAGACTTTAAGTAGGAATTCAATAAGATTAATAACTAATTACAATTCTTATAACTATAATAATGAAATTAATGATTGTTCTTAAACACAAAGCTCTATATTATAATGAAACTCATTTCTTTATATAGACCTTCCTGCTCTACGGAGCCCATGGTTCTGTCCTACTTGGATCCCTTGGATCCTAAGCTCCAAAGGTTCCAACGTCCTGTCACATGACACTCGTCACGTGATCCAATATTACCCGTCGTAACACGTCTATATAAGGCCTATAACTTCCTATACTTAGCTAGCTCTTTAGACAGAATATAATATAGACATTTAGAGCCTATGAATATCGTAAGTATTACGTCTTTCGTATTCTTCTCGAACTAATATATTTATTTAAGAAAGTAAAGTCTAAATGATTTTAGAATTTCTCTATTTTTCTTTACTAATATATAATCATTTGACTTAATATATATAATAAAGGTTCTTATATTAGAAAGAGATTCGAAACTATAAATCAATTCTTTTAAGATATAATTTCGAGGTTTAATAACTATATTTATAATATTATTTTCTTTTATAATAACGAATCCTTTTATAATTAAATCGAATTGTAAACAGATAATATATATTAAATCATTGAATCTAGTGTCGTGAATAATAGAAACATTGAAACGAGATAAACTATTAATATTCGATATTAAATGTCGCTTAGACGACTCTACGAAGTTAACGACTAGGGGAACAACTAATAATATCTCTATTTTCTCCCTATCGCCTCCAAGTATGATTAATACCTTGAAATAAAAGTGAACATGAATACATCCTTCCTCATCATAGTATACAACTAAAAAAAATTCAAGATTCTGCTCATTTCGCTTTAGACGAGAACTTAGTATATAGAATGTCCTTAATTAATCTTCTCATTTAATACTCTTTCACGAAGAAGATAATGTAGTTTGAGTTTTTCAATCAAAATATTCGTTGGATTCGATATGATTTATATATATCTATAATTATAATTAGCGATTGAAAATTTAAAAAAAAAGATTGAATTGGAATAATGCAAGCCCACACTTTACATGTGATTCCCACCCACCCAGGCTATGGAGCAGCCTTGACTCTTGCTCAAAATAATGTGAAATAGTTATCCACAAAACCGAATGTATAAGTTGTTTTGGAGTTGTTCTAAGCGTAGGTGTAGATGCTGCTGAAGGCTAACACTTGCGGGGTTGTTCTAAGCAGCAATTGCACAAGGACTACCACGAGCAGGGTTGCTTCAAGCAGTAAATACAGCAAAGAACAACTCTTTTATACAACACGATACAGAAGCGATTTGAATTTGTTGTAGATGTCGTGCGATAGGGGTAGAGGAGGGGCATAGAAATAGAAAAATAGTGCTTGTATAATTGTAGTTGATGAAAATGAGTGATGAAAATGGGTGATGAAAATGAGTGATGGTAAATTGATGATAGTGATGGAAATGGGTGATGAAAAGAGACGAATAAAGAGAAAGAGTAACTACTTGTAGGTTAATAAACTTTTTGGTAAGTATACCAATAACCGAGGCTAAACGCGAGAACCATGAATAAGTCATACGATAGTATAGGGTTACACTGACAACCCATATACGGTACCAGAAGATAACAGGTTTCAGTTGTACGGAATGTATTGAATCGATCTAAAAGAGTAATAACCTGAGGCGATCTTTTACACAACATTCGATTAATCTACAACCACCTACCCTTTAGTCATTCTATGCTTCTCTCCAGACCAGTAACATTTCGAAGCACCTACCTAGTACATAAGTAGAGTATTGATTGGAGATTAAGGGAAATTAAGACATTGAGGGAATTAGGAATTTGATTATTTCGTACTATTACAAGATCAAATCGAGGAAACCAGGACTCTTCTTCTCCCATGCGAATGAATATTCATCGAAATTTTCAAATAGTATCAAAACTCGTTTTTGTATATGAGGACCTGATTGATTAAGAGTTCTATTATCTTTTTTTATTTTCAATAATTTTTTATTTCAAATAAATGAATTACTTATTTGTAATATTATAGCTTTCGAGATTGTATTTTTATTAAAAATTAATAAATAGTGAATCAGATAAGAAAAGTAAATAATACTTCTAAACTATTAAATACTCTAGATTCTCTTTATTATATATACTAGATCTATTTATTATTACTTTGTTTTGATTCTATATTAATTATGAAATTATAATCATAATAATCCTAAAAAAGTAACTGGATTAAATCCCTTAGGAAATTCGGGGCGAAGCCCCTGAGCAAGTTGAATCAGAATTTTCTATTTTAGAGTTTTAAGCATATCGAATGAAATAATAGATTAAGAATCTTATTAATGAAAAGGTGGAAGAGATATTAGTAAAGCAAGATTGACTAGATAATTAGAGAATAACGATATAAATTATACGTATTATAATATTAATAGTTAGAGTCAATAACATCGAGTTCATTTGAGTATGTATTATTAGTTAGGAAGTACAATTATATATTAATAAATATAGAATAAAAGATAACTCATTAAAGACTAAGAGTAAATTTAAAGGTCAATATTAGTCTAAATAGAAAGTAGGAGATTATTAATATAGGTAATTGTATTCGATTATAATCTAAATAGGAATCTTAAATATATTAAAATAAACAACATTTTAAATAATAAATAAAGAGATATATAATCTAATTAGCTTTTAAAATCCTATAAATCAATAGCAAATTAATATTTTAATTTCAAATTACTTTCTTTATTAATTTCGAATCAACTTTTTAATAAAGAAAATTCATTATTATATCTATCATTTCGCATTTAGACTAACTTCTATATAATATTTTAAATTTTTCAAAATAATAAGTTATAAGTTCGAATAAAGAAATAATAAAGGATTTCTTTTAATAAAGAGTTCTTTACTTAATATCATAATAATATTCTTTCTTATATGGAGAATATAAAAATTTCATAAAAAACTTCTTATAATATTTATTTTATTTTATAATAATGATAGATTTTTATTATTATAATTAATCCTTTTAAAATTATAATAATATTAAGTAATTTAATTAATATTTATTAACATGTTACGGGAGCTGCCTCTAGGGTCACGTGGAAGTGTCTAGAGATCTCTCGAGGTGGTTTAGACTAGACTTCAAGTAGGAATTCAATAAGGTTGTAACTGGTTGCAATTCTCGTAACTATAGTAATGAAACTAATGATTGTTCTTGAGCACGAAGCTCTACATTGTAATGAAATCTGTTCTCTTATATAGACCTTCCTGCTCTGCAGAACCTACAGTTCTGTCTTGTCTGGATCCTCTGGATCCTATGGATCTAGATGTTTATTCTTCGATCCCCTAGATCCTCTAGGTCCATCACGTGACTTCCTGACCATGTGACGCGGTATATTGGATGCCGTCGTAACATAACATTACTAAATGATTCAGCTGAATATATCTAAGGATTTTAGTTTAAAATAATAAGAAATTTTTACTTTAACTCTTCGATTATATAATTAAGTCTTTACTTCTTAGTAATTTTAATAATCTCTACTTTATAATTTATATAAACCTCTATCTTCTTTTTATATCTCATATACCTCTTTTTTTATTAATAGTTCTAGTTCTAATACAAATTCAAATTGATAACTTATTTTTAAATATAACTTTCTAAAAAATACAACGAAAAATATAGAATAGAATATAAAAGCATTTAGAGATTAATCATATTAAATATAATGAAACTAACTATAAGAGAAATAGCTTTAATATAAGTCAGAGCTTTTACTAATACTAATTAAGACTAGCTCCCTCTACTCTAGTGTTACGACGGTATTCAACATACCGCGTCACATGGCCAAACGGTCACGTGATGGACCTAGGGGATCGAAGAATAAATGTTTAGATCTATAAGATCCAAAGGATTCAAGCAGAATAAAGCCTTATGGTTTTGTAGAGAATGAAGGTCTATATAAGGAATAGGGTTTCTTTATATATAAAGTTTTATACTTAAAAACAATTATTAATTTCATTATTATAATTATAAAAATTACAATTAATTATTAACCTTATTGAATTCCTACTTGAAGTCTAATTTAAATCATTTTGAGAGATCTCTAGCCACTTCCACGTAACCCTAGAGGCAGCTCCCATAACATCTAGTATGTATGTAAACTTTAATTTTATTAATCTGTTTAATCTATCTAATTTTATTTCTTTTTGAAATCAAATTGATTTAAAAACAAATCTCGAATATTTTAATTTACAATCTCATGATTAAAAAAAAAGATAATTTAGAACAAACACACCAAAAGTGCTGGTTTTAAAAAAAGAATTATCAATTATGACATTTTTAGTGTGTATTATACATAAAAGAGTACTATTTTTAGCATTTACCGTATAAGATATTTGATAAAGTCCAAAAATAAAAGCTTGTATTGAATAAGATGAATTGAAGACTGTAAATGAGTAGAACAGCAAAATCAAATCTGGTATTCAGGGTCGCATTGCGGCTCAAAGACAGTTTAAATAATCTTCCAGCCATAGCCATCCACCCTCTCATGTGCATCATTCAAAAGCCTGACAATCTCCTCCTTTCCTTCTAGATCCCCTACTAACTCATATTCCGTTATCATTCTATCCTTTCATAGCAGCAGCAACTGAATCACCAATTAGCTGTCGCATCAGCAAAGAAGGGTTTCCACATGGCAATCCCCGCTCTCGAAAATGAATCATGTCATACCTTCCTGGCGTCTCTTGGCTTTCTCTTTGAGTCCACCTCCCAATACAGAAGTAACGACACCAGTCGGATTCTGCAAAATTCCTCCCAGAAGGGGTCCTATAAGTGGTACATCACTGGGAATCCCCGTTACAGTCGCAACACCCGGAACATTCCCAACAATATTACCAATATCAGGAAGACTCTGTCTCTTCACAATCTCATCTCGTTCTTTCAACCCCAGCCCTAAGCCTCCGAGTATACTGAGAAGAGGACCTAATTCTCCGGCCAAATCCTGTCTCTTCAAAATCTCATCTCGTTCTTTCAATCCCAGTCCTAAGCCCCCGAGTATACCCAGAATGGGTTCCAATGCACTTGTCACTGATCCTAATCCCAGATCCTGTCTCTTCACAATCTCATCTCGTTCTTTCAACCCCAGCCCTAATCCCCCGAGTATACCTAGAATAGGTTCCAATGTACTCGTCAATGATCCCAATCCCAAATCCTGTCTCTTGCTGGAACCACCAGCTTTCTCCGTGGCAGCGGCGGCAGCTTCAGCAGCGGCTATAGCGCCATTGATGTATGCTATGTCGGCGGGAGTGGCAAATTGGCCAAGGCCAGCGTCGATGAGAGCCTGTATTACTGCAGGAGGTGGAATGGGAACAATTTGAGGAGTAGTGTCTATAATAGCATGAGAATCTTATTTTGTCTATTAGAGCTGAGGCAAGATGGTAAATTACCTTGATCAGGCACAGGTGCCGCAAAAGCGAGTGGGAGAATAACAGCTGTGATGAGTGAGATGGGACGCATTTTGGCTTGACTGAAAGTTAAATGATTTCCAAGTGAAATGTACTGAGATTGCAATGTCAATAGTTCAAAAAGGCCTTGCTACTGTAAAAAGAAGTGAGGTTGAAGGTAATGTGAATTTCTTCCGGGTACTAATGAAACGTTTAAATAAAATATTTTCAAACTCGAGATCCTTCCAAATACTCAGTACAGTGTTCAAACTCTGCACCTTGGCATGAGGGATTAACACAATCGGCCCTCATATTTTCAGTATTTGTACCTTCTTGCTCGTTGATGACCGAGCGATAACCCAATGGCACCTGTCGAGTACCGCAAGAACGAGGATCTGTCGTCGGTGCTGCCGAATTTGAAGCTTTTGTTATACCTTCGTGGAACTTTGTAGTTCCGGTACATCATGTTGGTAGCTAGTACGAAGCATTCGGGGAGACTTGAGAGACGTGGGAAAAGCTGGAAATATAAGGGTCACTAGTCTTTGGATTTTTGGCTTGATGAAACACTGTGGAGGATTGATTGATTAAAAAGGGCTTTCAGCTGGAAAGGTTGATAGATCTAGAATTGATTATTGGAGAATTCGCCATGGAGTGGAACTTTGGTGGAGGTGTGCAAAGTGGAAAATGGATAGGCTTGCACGACATTTCTCGGCAATCTTCATCTTTTTGGGTGGAGTGGAGAGAATCTTGTACGACGGCGAGAAGAGAACGGCAATTGAGACATGACGAGGAAATGGACTGAGAAAATTTGTGGAATGCGGGTGTTGCGATATTGAGTACATGGCATGAGAATCAGGCTAGAGAAGGATATCGACATAAAAATGGCAGTCAAACTGATGTGGTTGATGGGGGACTCGTCCAGCTGATGAAGCCATTCAATTCCAGCTCCCAATTGATAGATTGGAGTCAAGTTTCTGAGATCACTACATAATTTCAAACCCCGTAAATTAAACCTAGACCCCAACTCCGAAAAAGATCCGTTCTAGTCTAGGAATTATATGGACAGGTGTGCAACTTCTTCACAACATTCGCACGATCTGAGACACCAGCTTTATCGGATTGCTTTCACGACAGGGAGAATTCTCCGACACCGACCAGACTCGCAGCTTTGTGACCAGCGCTGTCATAGCAATACCATGAATTTCAGCACCGCATGAAAAACACAAGATGGAAACAACCCTTTCCCAAACTTCAAATCGAAGATCAAAACCTTACTTCCATCTTAAAACTTTGTTTTAGCCAGGTACAAGCTTTATTCCAAGTCTCCGGCCAAAATTTGACAGGCTTCAAGATTCGTCTTTCGTTTGACAACCAAAACTCTTTTGCACACGCGAATAGCATACTCACTGGAGCACAAACCGCTCACGAAAATTATGTGCTAGCAAAGAGCATAGAATTATCCGCATTCCAATCCCCTACCTCCAATCGTGGGAACTGTAAATGGAAGATCCAGTAACGCTACCAATTGGAATATCTGGTATGTGTAGAAGATCTCCCGGAAAGTCCTTGGGAGGAATTGCTAATCATTCTCGCTTGCTTCGTGGATGTGTTGCGTGGCGAAAGTTGTGATACCTTTTGGTAAGATGTGTTAAATCTTTTCGAAAGAGGTAAGTCTGAGTAGATCATTTCTGAAATATTCTCAATTCTGGAAGACCTTTGACGCTGGTCTCAATCTCAAGTGACTAGATTCCCACTGTAGCATATTATCATGACGGCTGGCACTGATGTTGTGCATTCCGCTTCTGTGGATCATGCGCCATCATCTTTCCACTGACAATTTATTTTGAGATGTGAGGACTCAATATAAGAAACCAAATCCAGATACCGTCTGAACTTGAATAGACTGAAGATGATTTTTTCCTCAGGGGTCTTATTATAAAGATGGCAGCTCCATTGATACAAATCTACAGCGGGATTAGCTGAGGATTCTTTGAACGCTCAGCTGTGTCTAGGAATTTGAACTTTCCTCCTCTCCATTTTCAAATGATCGACAGTAACAAGATTCTCAAAAAAGAAAACACGTGCATCTAACCTTGTTAGGCAGCGACCAGTTTGCCGCCTGCTCAACATGAGCTTCGGTGGCCTCTCTCCGAATTCTCCGATAAGATGAAAAGCCAACAGTTGGCTTACCCGAGATTGTTTACTGTTGAGTAGCCGAATAACCTCATATCGGACCGGTAAGAGCCATGAAAACCTATCTGTCTCGGCATCCTTCAACATTGAGACTATATCGGGGAGGTGGGATTATTCACGTCAATAGCCCTAGATTTTATCTCATGCAGCTCAACTTCATGCATGCAAAAGTCCGAACATATGCATATTGCTCAACAAAGCAGATTCGGCCCGGGAACACCCACAGAAATATCAGAAATGCACGCTAAATGCAGGGACTTATCTTCAACCGTGGGTTTCTTCAGCAAACATAGTGCTTACAGGGTCTTTATAAGCCCCTTACGTCCTTCGTTTCCGTTGGCGGCAACTTCATTGTCGTGCCAACCAACGGAAGCAATGAGGCAGGCTGAAAGGGACCCGAGTAGGAACTCTACCCGGGTCCCGAAACCACAAAACTAGCTGCAGTATAGAAGGAGCAATACGGCTGACAGGAGAATATCTACAAAAGAATCAGCTTACTAATAGTGGTTAGCGGAGTGTATCTTATATGAGAAAGTCACGGGAAGTAATTCATACCACCAAATCGATATCAAAACTAATGATCTGCACTGCACGAAACGTTGAGGCAAAAGCCTATAAAGATCTTTGATTATTAGACTCGGGAAGACGATGGAACAACTTGCATGAGGATATATTGGGCGAGATGACTGCAGACGTCTAAGCAGGGTAAATGTTGATGTCTAGACTGTCGCTTTGCATACTGGAGATAAATGATGATATCTCTAGCGAGTATTATTCAAATGAATCTCGGGATGAGTGATTGATTGCTCTATGCGATCTTCGACGAAATGATTCGCCAATGTTGGGTAAGAAAGGACGGAGTTTCTTATGGTGCTGGCAGCCTCAGATGTGGAGGAAGTAAAAACAAAGTTGATTATATGTAATGAGAATGATGATGGCGTAATCAAGTATTTAGACATAAGGAGAGTCTTTTAGTAATGTAACGGTAATGTGTTGATACTAGCATATATACGAGCACAATGCCAAGAGATATATCGTAAAGAGAGTCGTTACCACTTTCCCTAGCAAACACGTGGTTGTCGTCTTGACGCACGTATAGAACGCGATGCCGCGCAAATTTGACCTATGAGAGTTTCAGACAGTAGAAAGAGTCATATAGCATGTAGCGCTTGAATTCCATGACTCTCAATTGTAATTTAAACCTATCAGCTGCCGGAAACCCTGAAACTATTTTCCCTGCTCAAATCGCATGTGCTGCCCTATATCTTGTGGCATTGTGGCTTGCGGGCGTTAAGATAGGAAAAGAATCCGGTGCCCGGTGGTTGTCAAGAAGATCCTTAAGCTTTCGACAAAGCTTATGGTAAATGATAGCAAGGATGATCCTGACAATCCAGAAAAGAAACCAACATGTTATTATATCTTGAGAGATCGGAAATCTGGGGACATCCTGGTTAGTAGACAAACCTCAAGCGTTGTAGCAAATCCACATGGCGAAGAGTTAGAGTCGTGGTCTGAGAGAAAAGTCTATGGCAATAGATGGATACCACGGAGTTCCAGAGGAGAAGCCCACAAATAATAAGGTCAACATCAAGCATCAAACAGTTTGGTTCCCCCATTTTCTTATCGAGAGAATTGTGACCGAACAATCTGAGTAGTATCCCCTCCTATAAAGCGGAAGGAATTTAGATGCGAAGGGAGCTGGATAGGATTGCGCATCGTATGCACCGAAATCTTTTAGCACAAAATTTGGCCAGTTATCTTTGAAGCTTGAGCGAGAACGGTTTTGATACGGATCAAAATAGCGCGAGGCCGACGACTTGCGGAAATCCGCAATGCCCGCAATGCCCGCTATCCACCTAATATTACGCTAACAATACGATAGATTGCTTAGTTCTATCACGTCAACAAGTGCATCGTAATTTCGGAGACTGACCTTGCGAAGGGATCGTGTCGTGGTCAGTGGCGGTCAAAATCTCGGCATGGCGAGGATCAAGTAGCGGGCCGAATCTGGTTGAGATCCCTTTCCCCTCCATTTCATCAAGAACATTTTGCGGGCTGAGAAGGTCACCTAAAACATTAAGCTGGATTATACTCGGAATAGAAAGCTATGCGACGGCAGAGCTGCATACTCGTTGCCAATAGAAGTTTTTTTGATGCAAGCTTGATGTATTATTTGGGCCATCTTCAAGGGTGTTCCGAATCCAGAAGTCTTGAAGCTTAAAGCTTGGCCTTCCGGAATTCCATCCATTTTAGAGGTCACCAAGACCAATGTGACAGCCAAGATGACCACGCGAGAGGAGCCATTGGATGTAGGGTCTATGCCACGCAATTGCAAAACGAAATAAGCGAAGGATGGGGAGGATATTTGAAGGTAAATATTAAACGCTCAGGGAGAATTACTACCTCGGGAGGATCGTACCCCCATGGATTGGAATGTTCTAATCGAGAGGCTAATAGCGGCTAATTTGACGGGTATGCTTCATGAGATGCCCCGCTAAACGAATTACCCCCAAAAAGTACCGGGTATAACAGGGATTTAACCCCATGTCAAGACGCTGATATACTCAGAAGGTACATAATTATGATTTTGAGTTATGAAAACTTTCCTTCAATGGGAACAAAGCTGTACTCGGGTCCGGACAAGGGTCTTCTATCAAGCAGTCAGTAAATGAACGCGAGTGGCTAGCTGCAAAAACCCCACGTAAAATATGGGGGGAACGACAAAACATCTTAAGCGAGCAAGGATAAAATACCTTGGTACTTATCTGATTATCGACGTGGCCATGATTCAAACCTGACGATCGCTCACAACGAATCATCTCTCTGTATAATGTGTGAACCGTGCAGAACTTGTACATATCGACCTGTGCATGCACGTTT